AGCTGTGGCATCTGTTGAATGATATATTCATTTCAGACCACACAGCTCAAGATAACCTTAGATGAGTTCTAGAGTCTGAATGGTGTCAGAAGACCCTGGAAGGAAAGTCTGGGCCTAGTTTGATATGATTTTCAATGAAAAGGAGCTTAAATTGCAACAATATTGATCAGTAGTTTAAAAAAAAAAAGGGGGCAGATAATAGTTGGGTAGGTGGCTTAGACCTACAATCCCAGCAAGCAGGAAGCAGAGGGCATATAATTAGGAGTTCACAACGAGCCTCTGCAACATAAGGAGGCCCTGTCTTTGAATGAATGGACGAATAAAAATGAATAAATAAATAAAACAAAAAATAGAAAATGATCGTTAACCCTTGAAGAAAACATATTTGACAAACCCAAACTATGTGCCACTTGCCAGCACCCATGCACCTCAGGGGTCAACAACATGCCACGTGTGGATTGAGGCCAAGCACACTGCTGAGGCAGGGATGTTCCCACAGGAAGCCACTCTGACCCAGGCAGGGAGCAGCTGCTCCAGATGCTGTCCTGGATCACAGACTGTTGCACAGCTCAATGGAGGGCAGCTCTACTAGCAGAGAAATGGATGATTTCACCTGTGGGCTGAGCTCCCTGCAGCCCTCAGCCAAACCCACCAGGGCAGCACCCAGGAGCAATGAATGCAGGGCAGCTGCCCCAACCTCAGTCTCAAGGTCCTCACCAGCCACAAGGAAGCAACTCAGCTCCACTGGCAACTGACTGTTGTCACTCTAGGACAAAATGCATGGCAAGGCTTTCTTTTCTTATCACATACAATTTTGATTTGTCTCTGAGGCAATTTTTTTCTCACTCTATTTTTCATGTCCCTCATTTACTGCCCCAAGTAGATTTTAGTTATGTAGTACTAACAGAGAACACAGGATGGTAGGAATAACAACATAAAAACAGTGGTGATATAAATCATAGGGAAACAAGAATATGAAGACAAAGCGTCCCATAGTCTGAACGTTGGACACCAAAACACCTCCGGTTGCCTCTAGACTTATGGGAATCATAACCATATAAACAAAGAGCCAATTCCAGGAGCATAGTTTAATCCCTAGAACCATCTCATTTTCCAATTGATAATCTCCTTTAATCAGAACTAACATGTCTAGTTCCAATTGTTTAGCGGGTATAAATTCGCTTTACCACAAATAGTTGCAAAAACATCACTATGCTTTATTTTCCTAATGAAGCAAAATGTGTCACTAAGGTCCACTTCCCCCTGAGTGCTGAAGCAATGAATGCCTGTCCTGGAGCTTCCAAGAGTCTCAAGAAACTACACAGTCAGAAACCTGAGCAGTCCTTACAGCTCCAGTCTCTTGTTCACACCTGAGATATTGATACAGTGGTCATTGCCCAGGCTGAGGTGGTCTTTCACAGGCAGGAGTCTCTTTTTCTGAGCTTGTCAACTCCCAAGGTAGGGTAATGAGTGCTCCGTTTCCCCAGCAAGCACATGCCCTCCAAGGGGACTCTTGCCACTGCCCAGGCCACATATAGGAGTAGGATGCAGGGCATCTCTTAAATCTTCTCTTAAATGTGTTGTCTATGCGGCCATAGAGCATTTTTTATTCTCTGAATGTTTTCTATATTACAGCATCCTTGCTTATTCCATGCATATGATATTTAGAGATGCTCATTGTAAGTTATGTTTTCTTTTCTGTTGCCTCTGTCTTCTCTGAATTCCCCTCCTCTAAATGTTATTTTGATTTGTCTTTCACATCAGTGGCTTTTGTGACTATCTCTTTATATTTTGTGAATATCTATGTATATAAGAGTTAAGCACTGAAGCGCTGAATGGAAAACATATTAGCCTGGGTGGATCACACCAGAGGCAAGTGAACTACTCTGGACTCTTCACTGTTGGTTCCAAATATTGGCATTAATACATCTTTTCTCTTGTGGACATTTACCATAGGTATGAATCCTCCTGGGTCATGAATAGAAGGTAATTTTGGCAGGAAGAAATCAAGGATTCAAAAGGAGCAGGTTGAAAGTGAGGGGGGTGGCTAATGGCTCAGAATTCAAACTTTTATTCATCTGCCTTTTTGTATTATGGCATTATAACCCTGTATTTAGCTGTGACTTTAACCCAAGGTCTCAAGGATGCTATCTGATCACACTACCGCTCAGCTACAGCCCCAGCCCTTAGCTGTGCCTTGACTCTCAAGTCCAGAGTCTCTGGCTCATCCTCTGCTAAGAATGATCTTCCCATTATTGTTCTGGGCTTAAGAGGCAGCAACCTAGTATCCTTGCCTAGGGGAGAAGATCTGGAGTTTAGACACTCCCATCAAGACATCCAGACAGTCTTGTTGCTCATAGCAGTGTCAGCCAGTGCTGTAGGCAGGGTTACCTAGTGTTTTCCAAGTTGTAGGGCCAGAACCAGCTCACTTTTCGTGGACTTCCCATTGTCTAGTCACTCGTGTGTCAGCTTTCCCAATTGTCCTAAATTCCCACTCATCCACTCTGAATTACAAAACTTTATTGATGTTTCTCATCTGTTGTAAACTCTTCTACTTTCCATTGCACTTGTTGTCTTTAACTTGGTCTTTTTCTTTTTTTCAAGTTTGGGTTTTAATATTTTATGTAAGCTAGTCTTAAACCCATGGGGTCAAGTGACCCTCCAACTTCGGTTCCCAAGTAGCTGGAGCTATAGGCATGGACCACAATGCCTGGGTAGGCTATATGTTTTTAAACTTCCCTTCCTGTGACCACCAATATGGAGACTTTGTACCATGTCCAGGTCATAATGTCCCAATTGAAGCTGACAAAGCCACCCTGGGTGCACGTGCCTTTGGCCTTAACAGTGTATGTTCTAGTACACTTTCTTCCTCATCACAGGAGGAATGATTTAGATGTTATTGTTGAACCTGCAAGTATTGGCTCTATGACTAATGAACATGAGACTCAGAGGCCAGTAGCTTTTTTGACCTACAGAGTAAATGGACAAGATATCGTGAAAGGACTCTTGTCCAATTTCCTTCTTACAACGGGAGGTTTAGGTTTCGAAATCCTGGACCTATTGATGCAACCAATACTCCAAAACTCAATTGATTTCTTCTAGTCATTGGATTTGTGTGTATCCCATTGTGTTTTTCCACAGCTAGAGAATTCATGAGAATGAAGCTGTCGGGCTCTCTAATGGCATAGAGTGCCTTTTCAGAAGAAATCAGTGCATACGGGATTTGTCTTACTAAGAAGTCTTAAAGGCTTACCAATACTCTATGACATGTGGAAAGGAATGAAGAGCACAGTAAAAGGAGCACTGAGTGAAAACCCAGGAAGGATATTAAAGCTTGGACAAGAATGTCCTGGTATCTGGTTTATCACAGTACTTTTTTCCTGCTCTCCTATTCTGATGTACCACTGATATTAAGTGGCATTTTCATTTCTTAACGAAAATATGCCCAGTTCTGAAACTATAATATTGAGTAAAGTAATTATTTTTTACAAGCACTTTAACAAGTTTTTGAGATGACATATCTGATTTTCAAAAACCAATGTGAAACCATGAAGCAGGATCAGGACTCAGGACAGCTCATCAGTTTCACTGAGTATTGTGAATACTCATGTCACTGCCCATAACTCCTGTCCCAGGATAAATAACTAAGGGATCAAACGACTTCCTGCCTTTGAGGAATCACACTGAACCATTGTTGTCAGTTTGGCACTGGGTAGCAAGCAAGTATTTGCTTACTACACCCAAAGAAAGTATAAGTCCATAACTATTCCAATATTTGAAAAGAAACATTAATTTCATCATCAAAAGGCCCAAACAAGCATAGATCACCGGGTGTTCTTTAAGCATTAAATTAGGAAGAACATCCAGTGGACAAAAGGCTAAATGTTTTAACTGGTTCTGTCTTGTTTGGTTCTGAAAATCTGTCTCATTATTGATTATTAAAGAATCCAAACTAGGCCTAGTCTGAAAAAGTGGAATTATTCTCAGTTTTTGAACTGGGTACAACAGTAAGTTAGAGCCAAAGCTGGAACTACCAATGGTGAAAAGCAAGGGTGACCACCAAGTGATGACATTTACGAGGCTCAGAATCTGTCCTCATAGTCAAATCCAGGGCACAGTTCTTTTGAGTTCTGGTCATGTTTTTTTTAATGTTCACAGCCACTTAGATGATTATTTTTAAGATAGTACTTAGTTGGACATATGTATTTGGGGGTAGGTTTGACTGTGGGCTTTGTGGATGGGTTGTTTTTTCGTACTGTTGTTTATAGAGTTGGGTTTAACCCAGGGCTTCACTGAGCTAAATCCAAACCCCAGTAAGTTTATAATGACCTTTATGTTCCAACAGGGAAACTTGAAGCAAGGCATTGTGGGAAAGGATTTAGGAACTTTGTTCACACCAGCCTTATTTATAATAGTGAAACACTGATTTATAATAAAACAGTATTTACAATAAAACCAACAGAAAAATCTAGAGTAGGAAACTGGCTGAGACATGTGGTGTCATGCTATATATCTTTTAAAGGGCACATACATGTGCTAAGTCCATCTTGAGGGAAAAAATTTATACAATATTTTTATGTGAAAAAGACCAATACAGATTAGTGACTGTACATAAAACAATTTAAGAAAAATGACTGTTGCTCAAAAGTCACAGTTGATTTAAGCAATACAAAAGTGTTGTTAATTTTTCATTATACTTACTAAAAGTTACTTTAAAACAGAAGAAATTTCATGTTTTGGAAACAATGCTACAGAGCTAAGTTTTTCAATGTTTCCTGTACAGTTTTTCAATCATTTTCTTGGACATTACTCTTTTAGGACATCAGAATCTCTCTCCTTATGCATAAAAGAATGGGGATGGGTCAGTAAATACTTCCTGCTTTGCATACAGCACAAAAGGTGGAGTTCCCAAAGGCTGGAGGAAGAAGGAAGTTAAAAGAAGCTTAAATACTGGGACCAGCTTACGCTAGGCAGTTTAGTGGTTGGTCTTCCCAGTCAACATGAAGGCTCTCCTTCTTCTGGGGCTTCTCCTTCTCTCTGTCAGTGTCCAAGGCAAGAAGTATGACCAGTGTGAGTTGGCCAGAACTCTAAAAAGCAAGGGAATGGATGGCTACAAAGGCATTAAACTGTCACAGTGTAAGTATACTCTGCTTTCTAACTGCAGATAGCCAGGTATGGAGCAGAGACTAGGAGGGAATGAATGGGCAGAAGGAACTTCATGGGTATAAATGCGTATCTTTCTGGGTTTGATTATATACAAACATCAGTTTGGACAGACATGGTGGTAGACATCTGCTTTTGCACTCAGGAGGTGGCAGCAGGAAGATTGAAAGTTGGAAACCAGTCAGGGCATGGGAGACATACCAAGACTCATCTCCAAAAACCAAGGGCTGGGGATGCGTCTCAGTGGAGAGCACTTGCCTTGCATGTGAAAGCTCTTGGCTCAATCCCTCCCACTGTAAATAATAATAAAGATGATAATGGTGATGATGATAAATAGACATAAATAAACACATCGTTTGGTCCTATAGGATCAGAGATACCTTGTAAAGGAATGATGGGCTGGGAGGAGCCATCATTCCATGAAATTGTGGGTCAAACATGCCCTGATGTATAGTTCTAGAGCCTCTAGGCTGGCCGTTTGTCTCAGATTCAAAGGCCCATGTAGGGTAAGTAAATGACACATTGCAGGACCCACTTGCAACTTGGATTCTGAAAGTGTAGGGTCAGACATCATTTTTCTTTCTTAAATTCTGCTGCTATGCCATGGGGTTTTTAAAAGCAAAATTTTGAAAAATCATGTTGAATTCTTAAAAATTAGTAGCAGGAACATACATTCTTCCAGTCTCTCTGTATATAAGGATCTCTGAAACTCAGCATGAATGTTTTATTATTTCATCACTCTAGCTTCACTATTTTTCATTTTCTTCTACACAATTCACAGTGCAATGGCACATAACTGTAGTTCAGCTACTGTGAAGGTTGAGGCTAAAGGATCACTAGAGTCCATGAGTTCAAGGCCAATTACACAGCACAGTGATGCCCTTCTCAAAAAAAAAAAAAAAAGTCATATGAGAAAAGGCTACTTTATAGCTTATTCCTACTTATTATTGTAATCATTGTACTTTTTAGATTGAAATCTGTAACTATTTTTGCAGGAATGAGTGTAGAGATGAATGGATGTATGAGTGATCCCAGTATAGACTTTCCTAGCCTATAATTTTTTCCAAATTCACCTTTAGGTATGAAAAGAAAATTTCTCTTTCCCCAAAAAAATCCTTTTTATTTTCCCTATGAAAAGCATTTTTTTCATCAGCCTATGTAAGTGTTGTGAAGTTATAAGGTCCTGTCAACAACTTGATTTTCCATTCTGGGCTGAATGTTGCCTGAGGGATGAGAGCAGGGGAAGGAAAATTCAATGGAAGAAGCAGCTATTTTAATATTTTGTAAAGTACCTCATATTGTTTCATTAGTATGACAAATTGATTTGCTCTACAAATGGATTCTTTTAGGGACCCTTTCACAGGTTTGAGGTGGACAGTGTCCACATGGGTGGTCTCAGCTACTGAAGAGGCAGAGGTGGAGGGATCAGTTGAGTCCAGGATACTGACTCCAATATAGGAAACATAGCAACCCTGTGTCAAAACAACTAAAGTATTAAGATATTTTACAAGTTAAATACATCTTTATACTTATAAAGTAAGTCACTAGTAAAACAGAACTGATTTTGGAATACAGTATAAATGATTTAGTGTTGGTGTTTATTACTAAAAATAATTTATTTTTAGGGATGTGTATTGCCAAATGGGAGAGCAATTATAACACAGGAGCTACGAACTACAATCCTGGAGACAAAAGCACTGATTATGGGATATTTCAGATCAATAGCCGCTACTGGTGTGATGATGGCAAAACCCCAGGAGCAAAAAATGCCTGTGGTGTGTCCTGCAAAGGTAAGACGTGATAGTAGGAGTGATGGCAGAGGACCTGTCTGATTATTCTTATAAGAGTAGAGATTTGGAGTTTATGAAAAATTCATCAGAAATCTAGAGAATCATCTCAAGTTAGTTTTGTGGTCTTTCTTGTTTTACCTTTGATAATGAAATATCCTAAATATAGAGAAAATTTGATCCCACTATAATAAACAACCATATACTTGTACACTTTTAGCAATTATTGACACTTTGTAATAGTTGCTTCTTCTATGTGTATTTATACAATTTTTTTCAGTTGTTCTGGGGTTTAAACTCAGGGTCTCCCACTTGCTACGCAGGCATTCTACTATTTGAGCTGCACACTTAAACCAATATACATACAACTTTTTTTCTTGCTGAGAGATTTTAAACTGAATTAGAAACATTAAGATATTTTCTTTCTAATTGATTTAGTTTACATCTCCAAAAAATAGATTTCCTAGATAAACTTTGCCACACCTAACATTAGCTTTTAGATTTATGTATTTAGAATAAAAATATTTTCTTTTTAAGATAAGGAACTCATGGAATTTATTACCTGCCTAAGGCATGGGAGAGTTATACTCCAAAACTCATTTTAAGTGGAGATAACATGTATAGTCTTTAGTGCATAAATTCTGCCAACTTGGTAATGTTAAATTTTTAAATCTAAAAATTCCTAACAGAGAGACTAGGGGCATGACTCAAATGGTAGAGGGCTTTCCTTACAAGCACAAGTCCCTGAGTTCAATTCCCATATCACTACCACCAACAAAAAAAAAATCCCAACAAATTGATTACATTTAGTGTATTTCTTTTCAGTGTAGTTTATTTATTTAAAAAATATTTTTACTACATAATTATCCTTGATCATTGAATAAAATCAGAAAATACAAGTAAGAAAAATAGCACCCTAGTCATACTTCCCAAGATTTGTAACAATTGGTAAACTTGGGGGCTGAGGTTGTGGCTCAAGTAGTAGCATGCTTGCCCAGCAAGGGCAATTCCTGAGTTCAAACCACAGTATACCCCTAAAAAATTGGTAAACATTCTTCAAAATGTGCATCAATCTTTTATATAAATGTAAAGGTATATCATGTGTTTATGTACCCATATAAAATTGTAAACAATGTGTGTTTATAAGAAATTTTTTCCATATCACCAAATACAAATGTGTATTATAATTTTGAAGGATGACCAGAATTCCATATGAATATTCTATGATTGACTGACCCAAGTCTTACTGTTAAGTGCTCAGTTTGTTTCCATTTTTCTTTTCTATGGATGGCTATGAAGAGCTTTTTGCATACGTGTTTGGGTGCTTTTCTTAAGTTTCCTTCGGATACGTTATCAAAGGAAGAATTACTAGGCAATTTTGTTCAGTGTTGGGTACAAAGAAGACCGCCCATCATATTAGTTACTAATTCCAAAGTTCTGATGTCTTCAGTAAAAGAGAAAAAGACTGATTTATATCATGCCAAATAGGGTTGAATGATGTGTAATTTCCCCCCCATCAAACACCACCATATGCACTGTTGGGAAATAATTTCTCAGGATCCTTTCCGAGCCTAACTCAGTAAAACTGGGTAAATCTAAACTGAACATGAAAATCGTATGACAATCGTTTGCATTCCTCACCCCCTCTTTCAGATTTGTTGAAAGATGACATCGCTAAAGCTGTAGAGTGTGCAAAGAGGGTCGTCAGAGATCCACAAGGCATTAAAGCATGGTAGGTTTCACCCTGTTGACCCTACTGTTGATCTATGTGGGGGAGCAGGCTTTCACAGACCAAAGCACCACTGTGAGAACTGAAAACTGCAGGGCTTCTACAAAACAATGTACTACTCCATGCTTGCAGAAACAATCTACTGTAGCTGATCAGAATCTTACTCTTTTACTCCTTTGCTTACTTGAGGGTATCTCCACAGTTTTGAAGATGCTCCACACTGTACTGCTTGTCTATCTTCAAATTGTTTGCAGACTAAGTAAATGTGCAATATCTCTAAGTCAGTATTATGTTCAGCCTTCTGTGCTGTCCTGAGGGCTTTGGGGAGAAGCAAAGTACATCTCTTCATTTAGTAAACAGCAACACTGGGGACTGGCTAAGCCTGTATGGTTTTTCACATCAGAAGGGTAACGCGCTGGCATCCTAACGAGGGTGAGGGAGGCACGTGTCACACAATGGCGTGAATACCCAGTCACCACATTGTGATTTAAATAAAAAGACCTGTAATTTATCATTGCTAAAATATTCTGTTTCCTCAACGGTTGTGAGAAAGTACTTCAGTGAAGAATTTTTAACCCTCTTCTCTGTGTGTTTCACTTCTCTCTAGGGTGGCATGGAAAAAGCATTGTCTAAACAAAGATCTCTCTCAGTACGTTCGCGGATGTGGAGTGTAACTGCAGAATTTCCCTTCTTCAGCTCATGCTGCACCTTTTTCCCATTATGGGAGTTGCAGTTAAGTGAAAGGTCACACTGCCATTGTGTCCCCTTCAATAAAGCAATATTATATAAGTAGAAAGAAGATGCGTCCTTCCTTCTCAGAGCCTGATGTTCACTGATGCTTTCATTATCAGATGATATTAAGTCTACATTTTTCAGGTTGCTCATGATCTAATGCTGTGAAAGTGTACCTGAAACCTTGATTGTCAAATACATCTCAAATACCATTCTTTATAAGGAAAAACCCAGACTTAATCATGAATCACATGAGTACTCCCTAATATTAGTTGAAAATATAACAAAAGTTTCTTTTAACACAAATTGATCTTAGTAAAATACCAAATGTGTAGCTATTTATTGCAGATATTTATGTAGATATTTATGTCCAAAACAGTAAAATAGCCACTATATTGGGCAAGATGAAGTTTGAAAGGAACAGAATGTCAAAAGCCTAAAAACAGAGCCTGCCTGAATTAAGTATTTTCTTTACATAAACTGTCTGACCTTTGGTTTAAGTATTTGTTGCATTCATGGAATTTTAAAAAATAAATTCAGAATTTGTTTATAATTTAGCTTTAACCATTGAAAGAATGGTTTCATGAATCTCCTAGATCATGAAGGCATTAAGGAACAGTAATGAACTCTTGATTTTCCTTAATTTTGTTAACATAGATTCATGAATTTCAACAAAATCTGAGACAGAGGAGTTTCCATTAGTAATTATCCAGAGGAGTAGTTGTCTCCTCCAGGTCACCAAAACAGCAGTTGCATCTTCCCTGGCTGATCTTCCATATCTCCTCTCACTCATTTCTGGGGTGAAGGATCTTTGCCCCATCATAGGCTGAGTCTGTACATACAGTCACGATCCTAGCCCTCTCGCTTCTCCAAGCGAGGCTGAGTTTACCCACTTTCCTGCATGTCCTCCATCATGGTCCAAACGCCCCAGGAGCCTCCCATATTAAGAACAACACTCTTGTGGCCACCAAAACTCCATCTTCTGTCCCCTTCACAGCAAGATTTCTGGAACAAGATGTCTAGACTCTACCATCTCCATGCCCTCACCTCCCACTCTCTTTTCTGTCCTCACTCAGCTAAAACTCCTCCCCCAGAACTTCTCCCATGGCTCCTTGGTGCAATCCCAGTGGTCATCTGTTCTCTGCTAATCCCTCTTGCTCTTTCAGCAGCATTTGACAACATGAACCCCTTCATGCCTCTAGAAACTTTACTCACCCCTCACTGAATCCTTTCTTATGGACTATTCCTTGTCAGTCCTCCTCGCTGGCTCTTTCTCTGCTGTTTCATTTTGAAATTTGAGTATCCATACAAATTTTACTTATTAATTATGGTATCCCCACTATTCAGGAGTTCACTCCATGATTTTGGTTATCTGTGGTCAATGTGATCTGAAAACATTAAATAGGAAGTTTCAGAAATAAACATTTTATAAGGTTTAAATTTCATGCCATACTAAATTGTATGATTAAATCTCCCTCTGTCCTGCCTAGCAAGTGTGAGGCCCTGAGTTCAAACCCCAGTACTGCCAAAAAAAAAAAACCTCCACCTCAAAGTCATGTCTACTTGTTATTTTATTTTCAAATAGCTTGCTCACTAATTCAAATTAAATAGTATTATAATTAAATATTATCACTGCTCATAAATCCTACCCCAGGAGAACAGACTAAGAGGATAAAAAAACACCTTTTCCCTTTGAAGCAGACACACTGTATCAGTGCTATTAGTTTGGCTCTATCTGGCAACAAGTTTTTGCTTATTCTACCTGAAGAAAGTATAAATCCATAGCTGTTCAGATATTTGAAAAGAAAATGTAATTTCCTCAGCAGAAACTGAAATCTGCAAAGATAACAATGCTTAGGATTTCCTAAGCATTGAACTGGGAAGAGCACAGGGGATCAATGACTGTTCAACTGGTGTCTGTCTCTTTGGATCCCCAAAGTCTGTCTCACTATTGATTATTAAAGAATCAAAAGTAAGTATAGTCTGAAGATGGATTCTATTCTTAATTGTTGATCAGGATTCCCAAACAGTAATTTAGAGTCAAAGCCAGTAATCTTTACAGGCCAAACAGAAAGAAACTGCCATTGATGAAAACTAAGTGTGTCTACAAAGTGGTGACATCTGTGTGACTCAGAATCTGTCCTTATAGGCAGATCCAGGGCATGATTCTTTTTGAGTTCTGGTAGTGTTGTTTCTAAGAATGCGCATATAGCTAGGTGTGGTGGTGCATGCCTGTAATCACAGCTACTCGGGAGAAAGAGGCAGGAGGATCATGAGTTCAAAACCAGCCTGGGAAAAGGCATGGAGAAGAAGAATGAAATGTTATCATTCGCTGGTAAATGGATGGAATTGGAGAACATCATTCTGAGTGAGGTTAGCCTGGCCCAAAAGACCAAAAATCGTATGTTCTCCCTCATATGTGGACATTAGATCAAGGGCAAACACAACAAAGGGATTGGACTTTGAGCACATGATAAAAGCGAGAGCACACAAGGGAGGGGTGAGGATAGGTAAGACACCTAAAAAACTAGCTAGCATTTGTTGCCCTTAACGCAGAGAAACTAAAGCAGATACCTTAAAAGCAACTGAGGCCAATAGGAAAAGGGGAACAGGTACTAGAGAAAAGGTTAGATCAAAAAGAATTAACCTAGAAGGTAACACCCACGCACAGGAAATCAATGTGAGTCAATGCCCTGTATAGCTATCCTTATCTCAACCAGCAAAAACCCTTGTTCTTTCCTATTATTGCTTATACTCTCTCTACAACAAAATTAGAAATAAAGGCAAAATAGTTTCTGCTGGGGAGGGGGCAGAGTGGGTGGTAAGGGAGGGGGTGGGGGCAGGGGGGAGAAATGAACCAATCCTTGTATGCACATATGAATAATAAAAGAAAAATGAAAAAAAAAAAAAGAAAAGGCATGGAGACCATGTGTCAAAAACAAAACAAAAGCAAAAGAGGTGGGTATATTTCAAGCGGTAGAGCACTTGCCTAGTATGCAAGAGGTCCTGGGTTTAGTCCCCATGTTCACTTTTTTTTTAAAAAGCATGCTAAGCCTCCTGAGATGATTGTTTTTAAAGGTAAAAAAGGAGGAGGAGGAGGAGGAAAGAGGGAAGAAAGAGGAAATGGAGAAAGGATACACTTTCAAAACCCCAGCACCCACATCACCTTCCTTTACTGAGAAAGGGTAGGCACAGATGCGAAGGAAGAGAAAGTTGAGAGAGAGAGAGAGAGAGAGAGAGAGAGAGAGAAACACAGAGTAACAGAAAGAGACAGAGACAGAGAGAACTACTGCCTACTGCCTGATACGAAAAAAAGTTGCTTTAAATTGATATCACTAAGCCCCCTCAAGGAAGCTGGAACCCTGTCAGAACTGTAAGTCTGAATAATTTACCACTAAAGATTTGTTTTTATTTAGGTTTTTTTTTTCCGGTGGCACTGGCGTTTGAGCTCAGGACCTCACACTTGCTAGGCAGGGCTCCACCACTTGAGCCACTCTGCCAGCCATCACCAAAGATCTGGCCACTGGCCACAGACATGGACAACTGGTCTACTCTTCTTCAGTGCACCCTGGTGTCCACTACACCAGGTGGACACCTGGCTTATATAACCAATAGGCACAGTTGTCCCCCTTAATCTGCAGGGCACAGTTCCAAAGCCCCCAGTGGATGCCTGGAACAGATTATTACCAGTCCTTATGAATGCTATGTGTTTTTCCTATCTATTCACACTTGTAATCAAATCAAATTTATAAATTGGGTAGAGTAAGAAATTATCAACAATAATAAAAATAGAACAATTATAACAATGTACTATAATAAAACTTATGTAAATGTTCTCTCTCTCTCCTGCCTGATATATAAAAAAGCATGCTAATCCTCCTGAGATGATTATTTTTAAAGGTAGCATTTAGTTGGATATATATGACTGTATAATTTTTTTTGGCAGTGCTGGGCATTGATCCCAGGGCCTCCCAAATGTTCAGGAAGTGCTCTACCAATAAGCTAAATCTCACACTGCAGTAGGTTTGACTTTAAAGACCTATTGCTTTATAATAACCTTGATGTTCTGACATGGAAATGGGAAGCAAGGCATTATGGAAAAGGAGTTAAAACATTGTTCACATCAGCCTTCTTTATAACAATAAAACACTGATTTATGACATTGGAAAAGAAACTTTCCTGTTTTGAAAACAATGGTAATTTATAATTCTTCCTGATCCAATTGTTTAAACCATACCATTTCATCGTTTTCCTGTGCACGAATTGTTAGGACATCAGAATCTCTCTCTTCAAACATACATATAAAGAAAATTGAATCAGTGGATCAGTAACTGCTTCCTGTTTTGCACACAGCTGAAAAAGGTGGAGCCTCCAAACCACTACAGGAGGAAGAAGTTAAAAGTCATTAACTACCAGGTTGTCTTACCCTAGTGAGCCTGGTGATCTGACTTCCCTGTCAACATGAAGGGTCTCCTTCTTCTGGCTTTCTCCTTTCTGTCACTGTCCATGGCAAGATCTATGAACGGTGTGAATTCACCAGAACTCTAAAAAGAAATGGAATGGATGGCTTCAGGAGAGTCAGCCTAGCAAACTGTAAGTCTCCTTCCTTTCATACTGAAATCAAGATTTTCCCCTCAATAATTATTTTTGAATGAATGAGTAAATAGTGAATGGATGTGTGGGTGATCTCAGTATAGACTTTCCTATTCTATATTTTTGTTTTCCAAATTCCCCTTTATGTATTAAAGAAAATTTCTTTTTCTTGAAAAAGTCATTTTTTTTCCCTAATGAAATCATTTTTCCATCAGGACATGTATCTGCTGTGAATTTGCAAAATCCAGTCAACTATTGATTTTCCATTCTAGGCTGAGAGTTGCCTGAGTGATGAGAGCAGGGCAAGAAGGGTAAATGCAATGAAAGAAGCAGCTATTTTAATACTTTT